GTTTACCACAAAACATTTTTTATTGTTATATTTGTTAATAATAAAAATAAATGAAGAAAAGGGAAGAATATTGATGTCAAACGAATATGTATCCTCATTCATCCTGATTTTGTGTGTGAAATCTACGTCTTTTAGTTTCAAAACTACGTGTTATGGTCTTTCTTTTATGTATAACGTTTTGTGAAAAATCTGTACGTGATGGAGAAAAATGGATATCATTTTCAGATTCAGCGTACAGGAATTAACTGCAGCACATATTGTCGCGGTAGGACTGCTATATTTTAACAGTTTTTATATTTTATAATTATTTTGACCTATACGTTTTCTTATCTTACATACATTCTAAATGTACCCTAGCATCTAAAAACGCCACTATGACATTTTGTATGGTAATTCAGTCCTAAAAATATATTTGTGTCGCGATATTAGATACGTTTCTCTATGTGCCTTCTAATTAATAAATAAAAAATAGGGAATTTTATTTTTAGCTAATAAATAGGAGGACGTCTATAAATGGTTTTACAACTGAAAATAGAAAGGGAAGCCAAATGAGTCTAATAACTGCGTACAAGAAGGGAGAGGAGTCATTAGTCGAATATCTTTATGATAAGTTTTAATAAATGAATACATTTTTGTATCTAAATGTTTTTTTTCCTTTAGATTTACCATTGTTTAATAATAATAATAATAATCCATATAAAATAGTTCTTGGATTGAATATGTTTTTCATGTCAAAGGGAAATAAGTTCTTTTAACGTAAAAATTTTGAAACAAATTGCTAAAAAATATAGAAATTAAATGTTTTGTAATTATTTCATCAACAAGGAGGGTTCAGCCTGATGTGACATAATTTTTCGAAGGGATGGTCAGGAGGTGATATAATTCGAGTGAACAGAAAGAGGGGTAAAAGTGGTCTAAAATCGTGACGTTTTAATTGGACGGCCTCAGCCAAAAAATACTTCTGTCATCTCTATATGGTTGTATGGTGTTCAGTATCTAGGCTTATGGACAAGTTGGAATTCAGAAGACTCGCCTGTATAGGTATTCCACATATGTTATTGATTGTTCTTTACACAGAACATCGCCATTTCCTTCCCGTTATCTTTCCAGTCATACTGATTCCTTGAGAAGGAAATGTTATAAGCACGTGGCCTCCTCAATAATGATTGTGCAGCACGCTACTCTCTCGAAGGGCGTTCTACCTATTTTCATGCACACTCAGAGCAGACTTTTAAATCTTGGATGAGCCCATAAGGAACTTTTGCGTAACAAATGGTTGATTTTTATACTTTTAGATGTGTTTGTCATCATTGAGAAAAGTACACATTCTAAAATCGATTTATCCAAATATTTACTGAAATAAAATTCGGCAATATTTTCACGCACGTACACGGAGGGGGTTCGGTCGAACTCCCTATTTTTGTAATGTAATATTAACGTTAGCATGCCACGAATTAACCAAAGACAAGCCCAACGTGCAAGTTCAGAATATAGTTCCGTGGAGGATTACATTAATAAACAGTAACCATTCCTTTTCTTGACCACATTATCAGTAATCTTTCCTCCAGATTTGATGCGCATGTAAAGCAAGCAGCATCAGTTCAGAAACTTATGACATCAAAACTCACATAGAAGTTTTTTATCTCTGATATCAGACAGGCTATAGATTTTTACAGGGAAACCAAATCCTGATATCGACGGAAGACAAGATGGCTTTCTATACCTCTCCAGGACAGGCCACACATACTGGTTGACTGCTTAAAGGAATGCTTCAGTGAACCAACTATCTTTGAAATTCTTTGCCACACTGCCACTAAGTTAACGTTTATGAGAACGTTCGACATCTGATCTCCGACGGTAGACTGAGTGTTTTAGCTTTAATACATAATTATTATGACACTGCTATCAACATTGAAATTGTATGTAAGTTATTTTTTGGAAAAGTACCACAGAATAGTGGAGCATGCTGACATGTTGTTTGAGTAGTGCATACATGTACGTATATGATATCCAATGATTAAAGTAGCTAATATACTATTGTTGTACAGAGTTTATAAATTAGTAAAATAATTTAACAATTAATAACTATTCTGCATGTAGATAGTACTTTACTGTAATAGAATAAACATACTTATAATAATTTGTTAAAGGATTTTATGCGAACAGCCATGCAATTGTTTAAGCTATATTTCATACAAAATTACTTCCAGATTCAATCTCATATCAGCTATTTTTTACAAATTTTCTAGGGGAGGGCATGGCACCAAATCCCCGTGGCTTTTGATTTCACAAATTAGAACTACCCCCTTTCAAACATTCTGCATACGGACCTGATTTTTATACATCTTGAATGAGATTATCACCTAAAAACAAGCTAAAGGGCTATAACAAAATATTTAATAATTAAAGTTTGAAGATATGCATGACTAATAGAAACTTTTCTTTCAGAATTATCATTATTCAACGAACTCAAACAAATTATAGATTTCAACCTTTTCTTGTTCGAGTTACGCCTAACTCGAGCCTAATTAAACCAAACAAATTATAGATTTCAACCTTTTCTTGTTCGAGTTATGCCTAACTCGAGCGTAATTAAACCAAACAAATTGAATATATTGTCATTTCTCACTTGAAGAATTTTCTTATTTTGGAAGAAATAAATTAGTAAAAAGTTTTACAACATTTAGACGTTTTCTGAATTCATAATTTTAGGTACAGATAAGATAGCACCAAATTTCAATTCTACTCCACATATTTAACATTATATATAAAAATATAATGAATTCTTTATAAATCTTGCTTTAATTCTCCATTCATGCATTATTTAAATACAGTTCAAGAAATCAATTTACAACATACAAACATTTGTTTATTTTATACATTTGACTGATTAGATTTAGTAAGTATTAAAAAAAGAACTGTGATATTTAGAATTAACACAAGTTTTTTTATCTGCTGAACGTAGTAAAACTTTTGTTTTTTTCTGTTCCCAAAGTTTCAATAGATTTAATTGCCATCATCAGGTGAGATACAAAAACTGTTAATCTCAGTTCTTGTATCTCACCTGATGATGCCAGGTAAACCTATGTAAAACCGATAAAAAACGTGTGTGATTAGATTTATGGTTTTTGTAATCTATTAATTTTTCATATGACGTAAGTTCTCATCCTATTATAAACAAAGTAATTTGCATTATATATATATATTTATTTATTTATTTATTTAAAAATACCTAAATAAATCAAAATATTTTCTTTGTATTAAATAAATAACTGATGAATATAAGTATTCGTATACTAATGAATGATGAATTTAAGTATTTGTAATTAAAGGTTTCCCCTGACCTTGGTGAGTTACTGGTTAGCCTGACCTACAGTCAGAATTTGGAACGTTTAACCATTACAATATTTGAGGCTCAAGGTCTTCAGATTCCAGAAGATTCATCAATGGGTGAGAAAGCTTTTTTTTTCTTGTAAAAACCTTTTTTTGTGTGTGTGTTAGTACAAGGTTGACTAAAATGTGTTATAAATTAGAAGAAATTGAACCTAAATTTTAATATCAGTTATACTGGTTACCGGTATCAGACTGACTTGAGTACGTTGTAAGTCACCCAAAGATTATCCAAAGAAGTTTATACTGAATCGTTCTTCAGTTTCAAAAATATTTCAGATTTAAAACTCAAAACAGTCATTAAGAAAACACCAAGTTTAGTTTATATGACCACTCGTACGTTCCACCACTAGATCGTTGAAAATCTGGGACAGAAAACATGCTGACGTCATGCGCTTCGCTACTTACTTAGATTTACGTGATTCAGTAACTTAGATCTTAACAGCCGTTAATGAGGAGCACCATCTTCTTATAACCGATTTTCTTCGGAAAGTATATATCCTAAAAACATCAGTTTAAGCTTAAATTTTTATTAACTAGTGTTAAAAGTCTGTATATTATGAACTGATAACATATATATATCAAATCTAGATCTAGAAACACGAGGTTTGCTATAATAATTTCATGTATATATTACTACTTTAACCCTGAAGGCACAATAAATAAATAAATATTGGTCGAGCATGAAAAGTAAAATTTACTTTCCTGAAAAATATCAAATCACCTTTTATAAATCTTAATTTCATAAAAAAGTTTGTTTCTTTGTAATTAAGCATAAAGCTAAACAATGGGCTATCTGTGCTCTGTCTACCATGGGTATCGAAACCCGGATTCTAGCGTTGTAAGTCAGCAGACATGCCGCTGTGCCACTGGGGGGCGTATAAGAAAGACAAGCATCACTAAGTAAACGTATGTGATACACTTTGATGCATATATTTGTTTGTATATATTTGGAAAAAAATTATATTTTTGTTTAAATATTATTTTAACAACTTATCGGACTTGTGCTATTGACAAGTTATCAATAAATATTTTGTTCTTAACATACATTCAGTATATAAAAAATAGTATGTTTATATTTTTATGCCATTTTCACATTATAGACTTTTGTTGTCTTACTTTGTTAGTCTCTCTAAGATTACTCCAGACTGATATACACATTGTTTGACCCACAATTCTTGCATTTTCCTGATCTAATGATTATTGTTCAGAAAGGCTACCGAACATAGTGACTTTTTAAAGTACAAAACATTTACTTAAACATACCATACCTCTGCAACATTGTTTTTTTTATGGCCTTGAGTAACATAAACCGGCACACATGACCTTAAAGAAATTTGTTTTTGGTGTCAATGATTGATTTGTTTGTTTTGAATTTCGCGCAAAGCTACACGAGGGCTATCTGTGCTAGCCGTCCCTAATTTAGCAGTGTAATACTAGAGGGAAGGCAGCTAGTCATCACCACCCACCGCCAACTCTTGGGCTATTCTTTTACCAACGAATAGTGGGATTGCCCGTCACATTATAACGCCCCCGCGGCTGAAAGGGCGAGCATGTTTGGTGGGACGGGGATTCGAACCCGTGACCCGCAGATTGCGAGTCGACCTCCCTAACTACCTGGCCACGTAGGGCCGAACATATATATATTATTATTATTATTCTATATGTACATGTTTATCTTTGGTGCACTTTGTGTATTTAAAATATAGATATATGTAATTTCTTAAAGTATAACGCTACACTTTGTGTATTTCTAATTTAACCTCCATTAAATCTCATAATTTTACTTTTTGTCAACCTTTGTCAAATAATGATGGAATATATAAGTTTCTATTATTTCCGAAACTATGGCAAAAATAGTAGCTAGTAGGAACAGTTTTATAAATTTTACAATTATAAACAAGAGAATGTCAACTGTAAAGAAACATTTTCGAACGTATGTCAGTGTTAGGATATGATAAGATGCACGTGACTATTAGGAGATAATAAAATACATGTGACTATTAGTATGTAATAAAATACATGTGACTATTAGGATACAATAAGATGCATGTGAGAACTAGGATATAATGGATGCATGTGAATTATCTCCTAATAGTCACGTGCATCCATTATATCCTAGTTCTACATACTAATAGTCACTTGTATTTTATTACATACTAATAGTCACATGTATTTTATTACATACTAATAGTCACTTGTATTTTATTACATACTAATAGTCACTTGTATTTTGCATCCATTATATCCTAGTTCTCACACGCATCTTATTGTATCCTAATAGTCACATGTATTTTATGCGTGACTATTAAGATACAATAGATACACGTGACTATTAGAATATAATAAGATACACGCGACTATTAGAATATAATAAGATTCACGTGACTATTAGGATATAATAAGATGCACGTGACTATTGGAATATAATAAGATGCACGTGACTATTAGGATATAATAAGATGCACGTGACTATTAGGATATAATAAGATGCACGTGACTATTAGGATATAATAAGATGCACGTGACTATTAGAATATAATAAGATGCACGTGACTATTAGGATATAATAAGATGCACGTGACTATTAGGATATAATAAGATGCACATGACTATTAGAATATAATAAGATGCACGTGACTATTAGGATATAATGGTATTTGTGACTTTTATGATATATGATGCATGTTACTATTAAGATGTAATAGGGCATGTGATTATTGCGATACAATTTAAACTTGAAAAACTTGCAAAAATTAACTTTCAAAATTTAAGCTTGAACTTTTATGGTTCTATGCAGTAAGTAATGGGCTTTTTACCATTCCATATACTTTAAAACTTTTGTTATATTTTTATACGTTTTGTAATTATTACATTCCCTTCGGATTTGAAGGCAGATATGCAGTTGTTATTGTATTGTATTGAACTCTTTATGTTAGCAGGTTCTTATGTAAAGCTTACGCTGATGATAGACAATAAACCAGTGAAAACGAAGAAGTCTTCTGTGGCCAGAAAGACAGCTGAGCCCAAGAACAATGAAACTTTTATCTTTCGCCTTGGTTCAAATTGTGTCAGCACTGCAAGTTTGATCCTTCAAGTGATTGTGGCGAATGGAAACCAGAAAGGTTCGAGTAATTAATTCTCATGAACAAGTTTTCGTGCAGCCTAAGATTGTTGTCAAATATTTTTGTTTTCTCGTAAACAACATCCCCGAGGTTTGAGGGAGTTCTGAGATTGAATCTTTGATGGATTCGAAAATGAAATATACCCTTAGAGACTCGTATAGGCTATAACCTATAAAAAAAAACTACTTTCAGCAACCATCAAGTATCTAGACCGCAATAAAGTTAAAACAAAAAAACAAACACTGTAGCTCATGTATGCTTTAATGATGCTTTTAGTGGGATTAAGCCTCAATTTCATCCTAATTTATGTTATTTAATATCAAATCTCATAAAGAAAATACCAATCTGTCAAGATGCATATGTCTAGCCATTTTGTTCTTCACTTTTGTCACTCTGGATAGCATTATTGTTTGTATATAATTCCGTCAGTTATCAAAATATTTATTTTTTAATAGCATTATTTGTACATCACGTGCTTTGATATTAGCTAATAGAATGAAATAGCTGTTACCTCTTACGAATATTATTTTGAATAGCGACTAGAGTAAAATCATTTTTGCCCCTGCTGCCTGTTACTTTCTATGGCTTTTAGAATATAACACCAGTTGTCCTTTCTGGATGTTATATTATATGACTGTTAGAATAAAATACTAGTTACCTTTGTTCGAGTAGATGGTTGCAAGAAAGTGGCTTACGTGGAAACGTTGCATCGAAAACGCCCTACGTAGAAACGTTGAAGCCAAAACGCCGTGTTCAAGCTTTTAAATATCACAATATTTGAAATCGAGCATTTTGAAAAGTAGAAGAGTTTCTGTGGGGAACAAGTATTTGTAAGTATGACGTCATGGCTATAGTGACGTGAAGATATTTTTATATTTCAAAGTGGGAGATAGTATCAAAATTAATGATATTGTGGTTCGTTACACAATACCCAATGGACGACGTTTCATTGGCCCTGGCTATAACACTCAACAGAAAATGATCCTAAACGTACTCACCTGCCGAATAAGAGATTTTGGTTTTAATTTAACTTTATCGGTTTCCATATAAACCCATAATAACGTTCGTGGTCATGGTCATGAGTGTTCTATCGGCCTCTTTTACTACCATGTGTCATTTCAACACATTTGTTGCATGATTGAGATCACTTCTTGGTGGAAGATTAATTCCCACCTAGCAGGATTTGTTCCTAAAGGAATGACTTGATGAATAAGAATGTTATTGTGCCTGTCAGGAGTCAAGGTACCATCAGTTTTGTGTAGATCTTCAACATATTTGGCTAAGGTGCAGCCCACACTTGTACTTATCCCCAGCGTGTTTCACATGTCATGCATTGTCTGTGATACTGTCCTCCTCTTTTCTATCAAATAAATTATTGTTGATTGCTGACAAACAACATGATTTTCAATACATCTGTAAAGATCACTTTCCTCCAGCTTTGCTCATCCAATTGTTCCAAGTCTGGTACCCATTTAAGCCTTTTGGTTTGGTTATCTCTCTTAGATAGCGTCTTCTAAGCAGCTGCACGTTCACTGAGACAACTTCGTGCTAATGTACCTCATCGTTCCCTCGGTTACGTTCACACCTGTAGTCACATCTAGGTCATTGGCAAGATATCTGCTATATTATTGTGTATCACATAAAAACGCATACCCCGAGTTACTTCATATCATTTTTGAAGGATATTGGCTTTCGATCGTGTCAGTTATCAACAGGGCCAGTTTACGTAATTTTTTAGAGTTTCGATAAAACTCCCATTGAAACATGGAACTTGTCGCATGTAGTAGCATTCTTTATCAAAAACTCCGATATCTACTTTTATACAAGTTTTTCCTGTGGCAGTTTTATCCTGGAGGTCATGAGTACATACACCACACTGCTGTTTGGAATAGTATGACAGCCTGTACTTTTATAAACATTATGCTAGTATAACACTGGCTGATCAGTTGGATGACAACCAGTCACAGTGTAAGCTATCAACACGTAAGTGTACTTTCATAATATTTGGATTTTATACACATTATATTCGTTATTTCCATATTTATACTCGCTACTATGTATATATGTATGTATATGATTTATCAGCAATGAGATGCATGTTGCTTTTTCAAACTGTATACTTTCCTTAAGCATTATTCTAGTATTCTTTGTTGCTTTTTCAAGCTGTATACTTTCCTAAAGCATTATTCTAGTATCCTTTGTTGCTTTTTCAGGCTATATACTTTCCTTAAGCATTGTTCTTGTATTCTCTATTGCTTTTCAAGCTGTATACTTTCCTTAAGCATTATTCTTGTATTCTCTATTGCTTTTCAAGCTGTACACTTTCCTTAAGCATTGTTCTTGTATTCTCTATTGCTTTTTCAAGTTGTATACTTTCCTTAAGCATTATTCTTGTATTCTCTATTGCTTTTCAAGCTGTACACTTTCCTAAGGCTTTATTCTTGTATTCTCCGTTGCGTTTTCAAGCTGTATACTTTCCTTAAGCATTGTTCTTGTATTCTCTGTTGCCTTTTAAAGTTGTATACTTTCCTTAAGCATTGTTCTTGTATTCTCTATTGCTTTTTCAAACTGTATACTTTCCTTAAGCATTATTCTTGTATTTTCTAGACAAGGATATGCATATTATTTTTGTATACTCAGAATGTAAACGTCATATACCACCCATAAAGTGAACTTTAACTGAAATTATGAAGAGCTATAATTCTAAGAATGCCCCACTTCGTTCTATGTAGCATTTATAAAATAAATACTTTATTTTATTTTTTATATTAGATCTACTAAGCTTTCATGACAAAGATCAGAGCATCTCCTTTTTGCTGATTATATTAGTGATCGGCTTTAATCATTAGTAAAAAAAATAATTAAATCATCAGCTCGTATGATTGAAATTACAAACAAGATAGGGGCATTTCCGAAAAGAATCAATGATTTAGCAAATTCGCTGTAATGATATTCCAAATGTATCACTTTTATAAAATGTGCTCATGCATGGCGAAACCTGAAAATTTACGAAGGTAATTTTTCAGTTCTGCTTATAATTTCTCCACTAATTGTGGAAGATCTTTAATAAAATCTTCCCCATGTATATGCTCTTTTGTCGTCGACTTATATGTGCGTTTGTTCTTCTGCTAGATCGTGGGATATATTCAAGTTGCATAAAAAAAGCAACGAGTTTGTAGTAAATGAAAACAAAGCTACTCGGTGAAAACGAAAATTAATTTGTAATTTTTTAGTTCATAATCGATCTCAGGAATGCGGTGGAATTTCGTTTTACTTACTATTATTTTATTAATATTTCAGATAAATGTCTGGGAAGAATTGTCCTTGGTTCTTATATGTTTGCCAGAGGAAAAGCCCTGGAACACTGGAATGAGATAGTAGCAGGAAATCACCACCAGGTGCGATATTGGCACAAACTAACGTAACAGCAAGTAAATAACTAGTCATTTTTGGAGCACGTTCCTTTCTGACGTGTTTCTATTGGTTGTATTTGCTCTGTGACTATGATGTGTTTAGTAGTTGAATGAAACTACAGAAGTCAAAAATAAATAAATAAACAAAATAAAATGAATCATTTAAGCATATCACAACAAAAAATAATATATGCTACATATATATATATACTATAATATGTATACTATATAATATCTGGACTTTACATTCAATAATGTGTATTGTAATGTGTAAATCCGATAAACTTATAGACAGTGGTGACAGAATAAAATAACACATCAAGGTAACGTAGACTTCACATCTGTCATCAACAAGATAATTATCGTAGCGATCTATATGATGTTTTCTTTTAATCTATCAATTATTCCAGTTGAGAAAAATGATTATAATAAGAAAAATATGTGATTTTATAATTGAAAAAAAATACAATTAGAATAATCAAGTTTGTGGTATGCCTGCGAGTTATCAAAAATTATCCATACCTAATTATCACTAAATAATTAGAATTAATTGTGAGTTCCGATTTCGCGACAGAAGAGTACGTATTTCATAGCTGTGTTTTTGAAAAGATCGTTAAATTGTAACAATATGATTAGCTTGTGATAGAATAACAATAGACATATAAATATATTTGTACGTATGTACATTTATAGACACATTTCTGTTGAGATTGTAGACAATATTTGAATGTACTTACTAGAGATTATTATAACATATTTAAACATAGCCGTATCAATTTTACCAGGGTCATTCAAAATGGCTTTTTTAATATGAGAAAAAAAAAGAGTTTCTTATGTTTTTCCTGTGAGTGAAAATGATCTTTAATATACATATCTTCTATGTTAGTTTATAGTTGTGTATTTTAGCGTTCATAAGACAAAAACTGGTACAATAATCAATCTGTATTACAAATAAATTGTTTTTATTGGTCTTGCAATCTAGTTTCATTAATATTCAGGGTTATAACTTAAAAATTAGGCTTAGATCAGCATTTAAAATATATTCTTCTCTTAATGATTCGGTTTTCGATTATATATGTAAAGCTTTCACATTTTCTTGATTTACGAAGTGAGAAGATGATAAATTTTATCACACGTTTTTTTAACAGTATGAAAAGATAATAATATATTTTATTACACGTTATTTTAACAGTATGAAAAGATGATAGATTTTATCACACGTTTTTATAACAGTATGAAAATATAATATATTTTATTACACGTTATTTTAACAGTATGAAAAGATTATACATTTTATCACACGTTTTTATAACAGTATGAAAAGATGATAGATTTTATCACACGTTTTTATAACAGTATGAAAATATAATATATTTTATTACACGTTATTTTAACAGTATGAAAAGATGATACATTTTATCACACGTTTTTTAACAGTATGAAAAGATAATATATTTTATTATACGTTTTTTTAACAGTATGAAAAGATGATAGATTTTATCACACGTTTTTATAACAGTATGAAAATATAATATATTTTATTACACGTTATTTTAACAGTATGAAAAGATGATACATTTTATCACACGTTTTTTAACAGTATGAAAAGATAATAGATTTTATTACACGTTCTTTATAACAGAATGAAAAGATAATATATTTATTACACGTTATTTTAACAGTATGAAAAGATAATAGATTTTATCACACGTTTTTATAACAGAATGAAAAGATGATATATTTTATCACACGTTTTTATAACAGTTTAAATCCATTTCTAACAGTTGTTAACAACATGTGGAAATTGAACCAAAATACAATGCCACTGAAATCCACAAAGAACAACTCAAATCGAAGTTGTAAGCAAAATATAATCACAACGCAAGAAAAAAATCTGTTATTCACACAACATACGAGAGATTACGCGTCAAAAGTTGAAGCCCCAGTGGCACAGCGGTATGTCTACAAACTCCCAACTATAGAATTCGGGTTTTGATACCAGTGGTGGGCAGAGCACCGTTAGCCTCTTGTGTTGCTTTGTACTTAACTTCAAACAAACAAATAAACAAACAAAAGTTTAAAAAATATGTTTATTCATTTATTGAATGTAGTCCCCTCTTGTGACAAAAAATTATCTCAGTGAGCTTTATATGAATAGACTTCGATAGTTTGTTTTATCGTCAATCTAGCTGAGTTGAGAACTGAGATAGCTCGTAACTGTAGTCCCCAATTCTACCAAATTAATCAATTCCAGCATAACTGTATCATATTTATAAGGTCGGTGTTTTATAGTTACACAGTAGCAAGTCAACTCATTGACTGGTTCAACACAAACATGTGGGTTAATCTTTATATATAATATCAAACAATTTTAAAGGGCAAAAGAAAATAATCTAAAAATTAAATCATTTTAATCTAAGTTCTATTTTCTGCTATTTCACTTCTCAGTACTTCAAATCAGAACTAAAACAGCAACTAATTAAAACTAGTCAAGAACTAAAACTAAATGTTGAATTTCTATCTCAAATTATACTTTTGAACACACAACTTCAAATTTTCTAAACTTTTTAAAGTGTATTTCGAAAGTCCTATAAAAAACATTACAAATTCTTTTCTGCTGCGTGGTCTCTGATTCTACCTCCAAATCCAAAAAGTTTTTATTAGGAAGTCTATGGATTTTGATGTTTTTTGTAACATTAATGTTTAACAATGCTTTCCTCGAAACTGTTACCCTTCTAGCAGGAAAAAACAATGTTTTACTCCTGTTGTTTCCGATCCACCAATCAATGTAAAAATGGGCTAAAAATTGAAATATGAGTATTTTAAGGTGATGTTATTAGTGAACCTACATCTAGTGTTACGTAGTTACTAAGCTTGTGTATATTTCTAAAATGATGCTATTAGTAAACCTACATTTGGTGTTACGTGGTTACCGAGCCTGTGTATATTTCTAAAGTGATATTATTAATGAACCTACATCTAATGTTACGTAATTTATGGTTTGTTTGAAGTTAAGCACAAAGTTACACAATGGGCTATCTGTGCTCAGCCCACCACGGGGATCGAAACCCGCTGTGCCACTGGGGGCTTAGATTTATGGACAGACAGGCTGGTGAGGTGACTTTTAGAAGGGCAGCACAGGAATAAAATAAATTCGAAAACAAAAGTTGATAGTCGTTGCTAGAAAGCTCAAAATGAAGATGAAAACATGAACACTCGTTTCGTAAATAGTTGTGCCTGGTGTGATGGTTAGGGTGCTCGACTCGCAATTTGTAGGTTCGAACATGCTCGTCCTTTCAGCCATGTGGACGTTATAATTTGACGGTAAAATCACTATTCATTGGTAAAAGAGTAACTCAAGAGTTGGCGATGGGTGATGCTGACTAACTGCCTTCCCTCTAGTCTATCAGATAGCGCAGATAGCTCTCGTGTAGCTTTGCGCGAAATTAGTGGGATTGAACGTCACATTATAACGTTCCCACGGTTTAAAGGGCGAACATGTTTGGTGGGACGGGAATTCGAACCCGCAACCCTCAGATTGCGAGTCGAGCGCCCTAATTAACTGGCCATGCCGGGCCTTGATAAAATGAATTCTGATAGTACCGCCAATGAGGTTTCAAGACATTCTGCTGCATGACCAATGGCATCAGAAATGACTTATTGAAATGTTATCTTTATTTTACACCTTCACATACACAAAAAAAAATGTTTTAATCGAGTTTTGTATTTTGAGTATGTCAACAATAAATCCGTAGACATTCAAAATGATAATATTTAAAGTTTTACTTTTTATATTGTGATTAAATTTCACTATATTTGATAGAATTTAAATGATTTTATCATTTTATAAATCTATTTTATCGTTTTTGATAAAATGTTAAATTAAGTCCCGATTCCAAAATGCGTAGGCCTAGTGCGATGTATTTCTTTTTCTTTTTACGTTGTTTGTTTATTAGATTCAGCATATTGATTTTCTACATAGGTGAGTGTTGTCATGAATTTGATCATTTACAAAGGTCGTAATTTAAACGTATATAGTGGGACTGAGTCCAGGCCAATTAATGTTGTTTATTTGCTTTGCTCTTTTTTTTCCATCCTTTGTTGTCCAAGTTCTAAATTATTTTCTCTGTAAAATCATTAGAACCAGAGTTTTGCAGATACTCGATACTTTTTTGGTGGATATCAATTTACCTAAATTCCACACAGCAAACGTTAAGTAAACACGAGATTTCATGTAATTTTTAAAAAGATTTAACAACTGGAACGAAAAAGAAGTACGTATAGGAGAGGAATATACCATGTGCTTTGAAAAATTAGCTTGCAACTAAATCTAAGCCGACCATTAGCAAGAGAGACTTATCGTTATCTTAAGTTGTTTAGATCAACGGTATCTACCACTTCGAGAAACTTCAAAGCTTCTAGACGTATACAAGAAAGATAACTTACTGAATTATTTTGAATTTTTTGACATGTTTATTGTTGTAGGATGTGAAGGACCATTATTTTGAAAAATCAAATCAAATTCGTGGCAGGAATTTAGATTTAAAAGTCTTTCAAGCCTAAAAAAAGATTTTGAGGCCTGAAAGACAACCCGGGGTGGTCAGAAACTTTTGTTTCTCTTCACCCAACTGAAAAGGAATTCAGAATAAACTCATATCGCCGCTAGTTGGTAAAACCATTTACAGTATTCATGAGCTTGACAAAAAAATGCAAAGTACTACTCCATTGTATTATATTGTACTTCAGATATCATCACAAAGAACAGGTGTCAATGACTGTTCAATTCGTAAAAGTAGATTCTGATAAAAAAAAAAATGTTAGAAAACATTTTATACGACTCACTGAAATGAAAAACTCAACGATGGTGGTGCAACAAAGTTACTTCTTCAAAAACTTCAAGAACTAGAACGAGGGACAAGGCTACAAGAATGGAGCAAATATAGAAAATAAGAACAGTGGGGTTTAGAGTTGCAGCACTAAATCCAAAGCATTCTTTGCGACACGTTGAATGATTCACTCAAACTTGTTAGAGTGACTTAAAGTGTTTCTTTTTTTCTAGGTCTACACGTAGATAGAATGTTTTTACGTGGAACAGGAACAACTATGAAGTTAATTTTCTTGCAGCTAAACTTCGAGGCTTCAGATTGATGTGTTGTCTCGTAATTTGGCATTATGTGGTTTTCTGAAGTGAACGTAGTCGTAGTGAATAAATTACGAGAAAGCCCTCAGGTAGATTTACTATTCCTCTTACACAAAAAAATCTGTTTTTTAGAAACTATTCAGTCTAATGAGGGATTTAGAAAATCACTTGCCAAAGAGGTAGAGACTGATTATGAGGGAAGGAATGAATTGTCAAAGCTCAGTGTAATTTTTGTCATTTTTTGTACTGCCATTCAGTCCCTACAAGAAATATTAGCTCAAATAAAACAGCACAATGACTGTTTTCTGTTCAAGCGTGATATATACAAATTAAAATATGAGAGCTCAGATGACATTAGAAAGCTTTATATGAGCTTTGATATTGCTCCTAAACATGAACAACTTCAACAGTGAGACGTTAATGCAGTGAAGCTATATTATGAACTCAAAACGTTGATAATAATCATCCCACCGAGAACGATCCCAGTTCATGTAATGGAGTATCCAGAAGAAAATAAAATCATCTCTCTTCTCCCAAATGTAAAAATAACGTTGAGAATTCTACTGACTTTGCCAATAGCCAATCACGGTTGAAATTTCTCAAAACTAAAGTTAACTAATTGGTTTGTCCATGGTATCAACTGGATCATCAGGTCGCTGAATTATCGGATTTCAAAAATCTAATTCGAGTTTCCATCTCATTAGAAGTCAAGAAGTGAGTTTTTAACTAAAGAATTATCTTTTTTTTTTCTGCAAGCTTTCCTTCCACTCAACAGTCTAAATGTTCAA